TGTGTGTGCGTGTATGTGTGATGAGGCACCAAAAGAAGCCAGTTAGGTTTCTGCACAAGGCTAATAAGTGTGCCTTCTACCCTCAATGGGGGTGGGAAAGATGGCCTTGTTATTTAAGCAGGCATGGGTAGGTGGGGACATTGCCAAAGAGAGCAAGAAAAGCTGCAGAGGGGCTGGAGAGATGGCTCAGGGGTTAGGAATACTGACTGCTCTTCCACAGGACCCGGGTTCAATTCCCAGCACCCACAAGGCAGCTCACAACTGTCTGCAACTCCAGTTCTAGGGGACCCAACACCCATGGCAAAACACCAATGCACATAAAATAATATAAATTTAAAAAGAGAAAAGCTGAAGAGAGTCTCAAGAGCAAGGAGGTGGGGCTGAGAGCATTTGTCAGGGCTTCTCTACACCTCGGTGTAGTGGCCAAGGTCACACACTGGATGTCCAGCCACTCCGCATGAAACCACAAAGAGGCCACTCCTTCCCAACAAAGCATTGGACCTGGGTGGTAGACAAAGTGTGTGTGACAGATCTGGGGTCCATGTCTTCCCTGGTGCCCACTATAGCTATGGGAGTTTCTCTCCTGGCTATCCAAACAGCCAAGAGGATGCTGGGATCCAGTTTGAGGCCTGGGTTCCAGGGGCAAGCAGGCCAGGCTCTGTCTGTCTGGGAGGCCTAGGTTCCCAGGCCATCACAATGGCCACACAACAGGGGTCCCAGGGGAGGGAACCTAATCTTGAGCTATTGAAGACCCGAAAGCCATGGTCCCTACCCCAGCAGGCAGACGCGCCTGCCTGCCCCACCTGGGACACCTGATCCACCCTTGGACCTGCCTCAAAGGGGGGCACTGTCCCCCCAGGGTCTCCTGCCCTGAGGCACAGACAAGGAGGGAAACTGGGTCATAGGGATAGAGTAACAGCAATGGTTGCATTGGATGGACAGGAGGGAGGGATGGCCCATTGCAGGACAAAGCACTGGGCATGGGACAGTCTAGAAGAAGAGCTTCGGGCCATGGGGGTGACAGAGCCTTAGGAGGGCTGGTGTGAGACCTGAGATTAGACGCATACACTAGGCCGTGCTGCAGGCTGGACTGGGGAGTCAGGCCTGCGCACACCACTTTCAAACAGCCAGTCCTGAGTGTGGCCTCGGCAGGGCCTGCCTTTCTGGTCTCACTCTTCTCCTCTGTGAAATAGAACTTTAGCCCTAAAGCCCTTGTGCATCGCAGGGAAGGAAAGTATCCGCAACTATCCTTTGTGCTTGGGTGGCTGATGCTATCGGATCCCAGGCCGTGTGCAGGGCTAGAGGGGACGGGGTAAAGGAGGGTAGATGGAGGAGCTGGTCAAACCCAGACTTCCTGCAGGAGACAGAAACTGAGTGGTGAGGTGAAACCTCCTGGTTGAGGTGAAGGGTGGGGTGGGGAGAATCCAGAAGCCACCTAGGGTGGCCGAGTCCAGGGTTTTCGGCAGCAAATGAAGTTGGGAGGTCATTGGGGTTCAAATCCTGGTGGCCTCCCAAGGAAGGGGACAGACCAGAGCCCATCTCTGGGATCTGGGAATCGGCCGTCTTTGTTCACCAAAGCTCACCCTACTCCAGCTTAGAAAAAGAAATAAGAGGAAGCTGGCCATAGCGCTGGCATGGGAAAGACTGGTCCAGAGAGATTAGCCCAGTAGGGTAGGCTCAGCTCTGACGAGAGACTCTTGGGCATCAAGACATCTGCCAGGGGCAGGTGTGGGACCATTACACACCCGCTGGGTCAGACCTCTCTGGTGAAGGGGCTGCCTAGAATGACCCCTGATGTCTCCTCAGCCCCTGGAATGTCCCCTTGCCTCTGGTAGGGGGTGCATTTTGAGTGTCAGCTGCCACTCCTATCATACGAGCTTGGTCCCTCCAAGTGTACCAGACAGGAGACAGGGGGACTCTCTGGGATCCAGCTCCCCTGCTGGGTAGATATTGTGTGTTGGGGGTAAACAGAGCCACACCCAAGTGTGTTTGAGATGCTCCCACTCATGCTGTGTGACCCAGGTTGGCTCACTTCCCACTATGAACCACTGTGTCTTCCTTATTTATAAAATGGGGCTGGGGGAGGGAGGGCCTCTACCTTCCTGCTCCTCATGCCTTGATCGTCAAAACACCCCCTCCCCATCCTCCACCCTGGAGCTTGTAAAGCAGGAGAGGTAGTCCTCAGGCACCATGTCGGGCGAGGGGTATGGGAAGCTCGAAGCACCAATGTTGGATGGCATGGTCTGGGAGGAGTTCCCTGCACTAGGCGGGAGGGGGCCGGGAGCTGAACCTGGCAGGCATGAGGCCCAGTTCCGTCTGCGGCTGTGGCTTGTGTCAATACAAGCCTTCCTGTTTTGGAGATTAAACCTTAGCTGAGCAAACAGCTGCACCAGGCTCCTCCTTCCACTGTGTCCTCAGCCTGCTCCACCTGGAAGCCCCGAGGGTGCCAGGGACAGGTGGGGGATGGCTCTGCCACGTCTGCCCTCTTCAGGCCCTTGTCCAGACCCCCAAAATGCCTGGCTCCTGTCCCAGTGTCCCCAACCCATCAAGGCCACTACCTGCGGAAGCCCCCAGTGCGATCCTTCCGCTCTTGGCGGCCACATGTCCTGACTGCAGCTACATCCTCTGCCCTGGAGTGACCTCCTACAAGGAGGCGGGAGAAAGCAACTTCTGGGCCACACTGCTGGGCACATACCCAGCTCCTGAGGAGTCCAGACGTGGCAGGAAAGCCACCCCAGAGAGCCCCTGAGTAGAGGCCTGCCACTTCTCAGCAGCCTCCTTGTGGGTGAGATACTTTGTGGGATGCCACGTCCTGTGTGACCTGGGCGGTTTAAGAGCACCCTGGCTTTCCCCCAGTGCTCAGCATATGCATGCGCATTTCTCCCTAGCTGTGCTTGCATGTTGGGGATAAAACCAAAGGGTTTTGTGAGCCATGCCTCCCACTGCTAGAATTCTGAGTAGGTGCTTTAATCACTGAGCTACAGGCCACCCCTTACTGAGGAATTCTAGGCAGGTGCTCTACCACTGGGCCACCAACTAAACCCATTTCTGCCCAATTGGGATAACAAAAACTCTTTCTTGGCATTCATTGTCAGATGTCCAGGACAGGAATCACCCTGAATGAAACCCACTGGGCCATAGGCCCTGAAGACAGCCAAGGAGCAAAGTGGTCCCGGCTAGAGAGAGCAGAGCTTCAGAAGCCCTGTTTCCCTTCCATGCTAGCCTCAGCTGCTCCCTGCATTCCTAGAGCCTCCTGTCCCCTCCCTTGGTGAACCCCTGACCTACCTGGCAATGCCTACTTCTACAGTCCCCCCACCCCCTGAAAGACTAAACTCTAACATTGCTATAAGTCTACCAAGGAAGCAAGGAAAGAAAACAAAAGCTGGCCCAGGCAGTCCCCATGCCCCTCCCAGTCCTCTCCCTCTCAAGGCTCCAAAGACAGACAGACTTCGGGGCTCAGGGTGGACCACAGTGGGACTCACAATCATTTCTTCATTTATACAGTTCGCTGCACTTCCCTTGGACTCACAAACCTGCTGTGGTACCCTACTGTCTCTCATGTGGCATTCTGAGCCTGAACTTCAGACTCTCACTCCCATTGGCTGCTGTCCTTACCCATGCCCAAGCATACAACCTCTCCAGGTGTGACAAGATCCCTCCACCTGCCTGAAATGTCTAGTCCCCATGCTGGGCCAACCAAATGACGCAGTGGCTTAAAGCACTTGCTGCCAACCTTGAGTTTGATCTCTGGGACCAACATGATGAGAGTGAAGAACTGACTCATGTAAATTGTCCTCTGACCTCCACATATATACAATACATACACACACACACACACACACACACACACACACACAAGTAAAAAGATCTAATAAAACAATTTTTCCAATCCCTCATACTAAGCCAAGAATACTGGTTCATACCTGTGATGAGGCTAACCCATCACTTGGGAACCTGAGGCAAAAGGCTTGCTTCAAGCTCTAGGCTAGCCTAGGGTACATTCGGGAACCCAATGTTAGTTAATAGGAGTTAAGGAGTCAGCTCCATGGGTAACATGCCTGCCTTAAAAGCACAAGAACTTAATCAAATTCCCAGCCAGGTTTACCTGTAATCCCAAGGTTGGGGAGGGTGGAGGGGCAGGTGGCTTACAGGGAGCTTGCTAATGGACAAATATAGCTGAACTGACATGGTCTAGGTTTAGTGAGGGACCGTGCCTCAAAAAGTAAGGTAGTGAGTGACAGAGTAGGACATCTGATATAGATGGCTGTCCTCCACACATGAACTCACATATGAGTGCACCCACACACACACTCACACACACACACACACACACACACACACACACACACACACACCAATAAATAAATAAACTAAGTAAATTCACCCTTGCCAAACAAAGTTGAAGATAGAGAAAATTTAGGGACTATAGTGGATTGGTGGGTGAAATAGAGAGGATGGATGGGTGAACAGTTGGACAAATAGACAAATGAGTAGACTTGAGTTGAGCTCATCATTGACACTCTAATGGTGATAGCCTGTCTCTGGAGTTGTAGTTGTCATTCTGGTATGTAGCCCCCAACCCCACCCCACCCCTTTCCATACTAGCCTGGATTACCTCAGATGCCATTTCTATCTCCCTCTAAAGAGTGTGAAGGAAATTGGAGCTTGTAGTGAAAACCTGTCATCTCACCTACTTGAAAGGAGGGTTACCAGTTTGGAAAACTTAGTGAGATCTGTTTCAAAACAAAAAGTGAAAAGAGAGATAGGAATGTAGCTTAGTGGTAGAGCGCCTTCCTAGAATTTCCCAGTGAGGGGGTGGGGTATGACTCAGTGGCAGAGTAACTGCCTAGAGTCGCCCAGTGAGAGGCTGGGGTGTGACTCAATGGTAGAGCACCTGCCTAGAAGAGCAAGCATTTGCTCTGCATGTTGACGCCCTAAATTCAACATGTAGTACTTACTACTAAGTCATATATAAATAAAATGAGAAGGAGCAACGCCAGACAACTTTACTGAGGAAGAGCTGATGGTCAGGGAGACACTCACTCCATCACTTAATAAGCAGCATCTCATTTGAGCAGAGACTCTGACCTCAGCTACCACCTCCAGTCCTCAGCCTCCTCCCACTGCTCCTGGGATCCTGTTCCACTGACTGGGCATGGGGTCACGACCAGCAGGCTCCAGTACCACCGGACCCACCCCTGCCCACCCGTGGCAGCTGCACAAGTTGGCCATTCTTAAAGAAACAAAGGCTGGCTGGGTTGCGGTGGCTCTGGCGTCTCCCTCGAGGGTGTCTGGCCTCTGCAGGATGTCAGGAAGTAGATCTGGTTGGTGGTCAAACTCTGTCACTGGAGATTGCAAATCACATTAAGCCAGTCAGCCCCCATCCCAGCTGCCCTCATAGGGTCATAGGGAGGTCCAACCACCAGCCCAGGCAGGGATGATCCGGCTCAAGGCAGATGAGTTCTCCCCCTGCTGCAGAGCCCGACACATGTCTCCTTTTCTCTCTCAACCCCTGGGTCTGAGGGAAACCCTTGGGAGCCTGTGTAATACCTGTGGTATCAGTCTCTGTGCAGAATACCCAAAGCCTAGCCTCAGGCACTGGTCCCATGTGCTTGCCCGAGGTCTGTGTCCTGGGCCAGCTCAGAGCAGGTGGCCCTGCCACATCTTCTTACTCCTAAGATTCATGGTTTGGAGGACAGAGGCAACAGAATGACTCCTCAACCCACAGCATGTGTGTATGTCTGTTATCCCACCCGCCTGTCTCACACATGTCCATTACTCATAGAGTAAATGCCAGGCTCTGCTCTAGGCATGGGCTGAGCCTCGACAGTTTCTGCTCTCATGGAATTGACATCTGGCACTTTTGCAGATATCCATATCTCTCCCTGGTGTCTGTCCATCCATCCACATTTACCTATTCTGTTGCTCATACATACATATACACACACACACACACATACATACATACATACATCTACCCATCCATCTTCCCACCCATCCACCTACTCCATTTACCCATCCTCCCACCCATCAGACTGCCCATCCATGCACTTATTCTCATCCATCCTCCTACCCATTCATCTATCCGGCCACTTCATCTACCCACTCCATTCACTTACTCTTCCGCCCACCCACCTACCTGGTTACACATTAATCCATTCACAATCCGCCTAGCCATACCATTCATCCACCCACTGTCTGTCTGTCCATCTTCTACCCTCTATGTATCATGCTCACTGAGCCCGATTTCGTGCCAGACCTGGACAAGGAGTAAAATGTTACCCTGACTTCAGGGAGAAGGACTTAGGTATTCTCATTCACATGGTAAGCACCAAGATGAGGGGTGACAAGGGTTGGGAAAGGGGTACCATGTGGGGCCTGTCAGGACACCCTAAGCCAGAGTGCCCTCTGAAGTCTTACCTAAACACCCAAAGGGACCAGGCTCTGAACCACACTGGGGCCCAGGAGCAATCACACAACTGGGTCCCTTGAATTGTGCCTGCACAGCACCAGGGTAGAAGGTGCCAGCTGTGTCCCTCTTACAGGGTGAGTGAAACCCTCAGCCTGCAGTGATCTGGGAACTGGCCCAGGACCACACATAGTTTGGGCAGTGATGAGCGGTGCTAGGCAGAGCGGGAAGATGGGTGGGTCTGAAAGGGGACGCTCTCTCTTGCAGCTGGAGACTGTCTGATCTGTTGTTGGGTAGTGCCCACCCAGTGTCCATCTCAGCTGATGGCATCAGCTGCTGTGCTATTCCTACCCTTGTACACATCCCCCACACGCCTATATTCCTGCCTTTAAACTCAGTACTTGGGAGGCAGAGACAGGCAGATCTGAGTTCAAGGCCAGCCTGATCTACTGAGCTAGTTCCAGGACAGCCAAAGCTGTTATACAGAGAAACCTTGTCTCAAAAAACAAAAAACAAACAAACAAACAAACAAAAACACCAAACAGATTCCATGTAACCCAGGCTGGCCTTGGTTCTCCTGTCTCTGCCTTTTGAGTGGTAGACTTGCAGGTGTGCTCATCACCATGGCCAGCCTCTCTGAGCTCTGCTGCCCTGCTAAGGCAGGCTGGTTCCCAGACTGCCAACTCCAAGCAGTGATCAGTGCTGAGCTGCCTTGGATGGCTTCCTGCAGAGTTAATGGCTCACTTATTGAGTCTCCATGAATCTTCCCAGGACCCTGCATGGGAGGGCAGGCTGCTATAGGAGACTCAAGACACCTGGAGAGCAATGGTCAGCAGATGGCTGGTTCCAAACCAGTCTCAAGAGACTAGTGGGGCAAGGGAAGGACTTTGTGAGTCTGACTTCAACTGGAGACCCCTGGTTCAGCCTACAGGACAACTGTAATCACTGAGGACACAGCTTTGTTCCTCAGCACACCAGTTTCAAATAATCCTAAACAGCCACTTGGGCATCTACCAGACAGGGACCAACAGAGTGCTTCAGGAAACAAAAGCTATGCCTTGCGTGGGAGGCTCAGGCTGGCACTCTTACTTGCTCTGTCACCAACTATGTCCCTGTTGGCAATAAACAAGGAAAAGTTCATTTTGGCCACTTAATGAAAGCTGTGACTCAGGTATCACATTAGGGGACATGGAGGATTGAGATAGAATCTGACAGAGGACAATGTGGGATTCTAATCCTGCTCCATGAGTGGAGGAAAAGATCGGACAATGGGTCCAGATTGGAGGGGAGAGAGCAGACACGGAAAGCAACGGGACGGTGGGGACAGGACTTCTGCAGAGTCAGAGAGACAACTGCGACTTTCTCAGGGTGCTGCCTGCGTGACAGGTGAATGAACAGTGTCTCTGGAGTGCACGTGGTAATATCAGTACCTGGAACCCAGATGCTCTCCTTTTGGTGTCCTCTGTGACCTACTAACCTGCTCTCCAGCTTCAAGGTTAGCAAAGTACCAGGACTGTAAGGAGAGGGAATGAAGCTGAAGCCCAAGACCTCACAGTCTCAAAATAATGTGGTCATTAAAAAAAGAAAAAAGGTAAAAAGAATCTAGAAGGTTGGCTTAGTAGAGAACCTGCCTAGAGCCAGGCGTTGGTGGCGCATGCCTTTAATCCCAGCAATCGGGAGGCAGAGGTAGCGGATCTCTGTGAGTTCGAGGCCAGCCTGATCTCCAGAGCGAGTTCCAAGACAGCCTCCAAAACAATACAGAGAAACCCTGTCTCGAAAAACCAAAAAAAAACCAAAAAACAAAAAACAAAACAAAACAAAACCTGCCTAGAATCTCCCAGTGAGGGTCTGGGGGTGTGGCTCATTGGTAGAGTACATACCTACAACCCCCCCACCTCCAACCCCCACCTCAGGGACTGGGTGTGTGGTTCAGCAAGCATGGAGACCACTACCATCAGCAGCAACAACAATAACAAAACAGGAGTAATATCATCCTGCGGTCACAGATGGGAATACAGAAGCTAGACAGAGCAAGGTCACAGGTCCTAGGCTAAAGCTGCTAAGCAGTCCCTCTGTGATCTTGTTCTCTATTCTTCTGCCTGGGCCTGGGCCTGGGCCCGGGCCTGGGCCCCTGGCCCTAGAATCTCTCTTCTCAGGGTAGTTACTGAGGACCCCAAGGGGCTTCCTTAATGTACTGGCCTTCTCTCTCCAGCCCCTCATTTTCTGTACTGGAATAAGTGCCCTACCCTCCTATTTCCAGTGGGTCCCTGAAGCAAGCCTTGGGGTCCAGGGGAAGGGTATGTATTAGTCAGAGCTGGGCGGAGGAAGCAATAGGGAGGCTAGCCAGTCATGTCTCCCTCTGGTTTTCAGGCCTCATGGAGTAACCATGAAATTCCATTCTCCTGACAGCAAAGACACTGAGTCACTCCAGCCAGAGCCTGCAGCCCCCACAAGAATGCTGTGAGGCTTTGACCTGCCATTTTCAGACCAGCAGCCTCAGCCAGAAAGGGGCTCCTCACTCCCCTCCGCCCAGCTTCATGAACATGGCTGACGGTCTCCCCTGCTCTATTGCACACTGTACCAGCCCCTGTCTGAGCATTGGCTTGCTTTCTTTACAATGGGCACACTCCTCACTCTTCCTGGTGTGTCAAAGCCACGATAGTTATGAAAAATGGGGAGCCTGGAGGCTTGGTCCTTAGGGGCTTGAGGGAGTCCCAGGTCTGGGATGGAGCCCCACAGAGTCTGATGTACAGCTAGGACCTACTCAGGTGGGTGTGGAAGGCAAGGCTAATTCCTGCTAGTTCTCCTCCCCCTCACAGACCTGCTCACTAAAGATCCTTGCCCTTGGCTTAAATTGAAGCCTTGAAGAAAGTTGGTGGTGGTGGAGCTAACAGGCCTGAGTGGTTGAGAAATGAAGACTGGAGGTGGGCTAGGACTGCCACAAGACACAGGGACACCAGGACAGTATTGGATTCACAGGTGACGGAAGAATAGTCTATTCTGGGGGGTGGGGGTATCAGAACAGGGCCCAGGCTGCCATGTGATCCAGGGGAGAGAATTCAGACAGGAACCTCATCCTAAAATATTTGGATGGCAGATAGACAGGGCTTGGTGGTGGGAAAAGATCAGCTGAAACTAGCATGGGTGGGTTAATGTTTGGAGGGCAGCCACCAGATGCCAGGTAGGACTTCTTCCTGCTTGTCCTAGAGGGACTGGGCTCTGACAGACAGCAGGGGGAGGGGTTTACAGCCGGAGGTGACGCCATGGGAGACTTGTCACTCGGGCATAGCCAGCACCATCTGCTTAGGCATCTGCCTACCAGAGGTGGTGTCTCCTAATTACCTGGGGGAGGGGGCCAGAGAGAGGCCTGGGAACCACTATATCCCACTCCCTCCCACCACAGGATCCTCAGAGCAAATGGACCACAGATCTACTCCTGGGGCTGGCTGGGAGGGTGGTGAAGGAGCCTGGTTACACATCAATTCAATGTCATTGTATTTCATTTTTGAGATAGTGTCTCATGTAGCTTAGGATGGACTCAAGCTCACTACGAGCTGAAGAAGATCTCGCTCTGACCTCTTATGGGCATGGGTCACCATACCCACTTCTATTTGGTGCTGGGATGGAAACAGGCCTTCATTGCATGCTAGGCCAGCACTCTAGGGACTGGCGGGTAGGTACATCTCCAGCCCTTTTTCACACTAGGAGAGGGTGGCCTGATATTCACTATGTAAGTCAGGCTGCCTTTAAAATCTCAGTGTCTGTTTTGGGTTAACATGCCTGTCTTCAGAAAGCTAAAAAAAATATTTATTTATTTATTTTGAGGGCAGTTGTGTGTGTGTTGCTCAGGTCAAATTGCATGTGTGGAGATCAGAAGACAACAAACTTGATTCTTTCTGACCATGTGGGTCCTGGGAATGAAATTCAAATCCGCAGCCCAGGCAGGAGTTGCCTTTACCCACTGAGCCATCTGGCCAGCCCTTTCAATAAGTCTTTTAAAGAGTACCTGATTCAGCCTGGGATCCAGCCTTATGTTGGCATTCTTAGAGAGACAATAAGAGAGTGTGGTATATAAATAACTAAAAATGCCACTCCAGTGTTAATTATAAGTCCTAGGGAATCGGCAACAGAAGGAACAGCGGTTTATCCGTGGTGGCAGGGTGGGCTCAGACTTCCCTTGGAGGGGGACGCGGAAACTGAAGCCAACCAGACCCAGGGGCAGCCAAGCGGAGAGCCGCCCCCAGCTGCGCTCCCGGAAGATGCCGCGGGCTCGGGCTCGGACCCTGATCCCACTCCGGGGACCCTTGGCCACTTCCGGACCCGCAGCCTCTCACCCTACCATCAGGCGCGCATTCCTGCCGCCCCCGCTCGTGCTGGGCGCAGGCAAGGCCCCCGCCCGTGGGAAGGGGGCCGTGTGCCGGGGAGGCGGGGCTGGGAGGGAGCACAGCTGGGTCACATCTGGTCGGAGTGCGGAGGAACCAAATGGAACAGAAGGTAGCCTTTCATCCCTTGAGGGAGAGGGCGGTCTGAGCGTCTCTTCGCCACAGGGCGCCTGAGGTTTTCGGGTACCAATCCCAACCATATAGGAACATAATGCCAGGACTGGCCTGCTGAGGGGTGTGTAGAATTTGGTTACATATACCTTCTTACCTGAACCTTAGTTCCGCACCCAAGGCACATGTGCCAGTCAGTAGGGGCAGCCCAGAACCAATTGCTCATGGACACCCCGCAGGCCACCACTTTGGCTCAGTCAGCACGGTCCCCAGGGAAGGAAGCCCGCTCGGGGACAGGAAGTGCATATCGAGAAGCTAAAGATGTCGCCCGCGGAGGAGCACGGGTTCTATCACCCAGGTCCCAGAATCGGGGTGGGGGTGGGGGTGGGAGCGCGTCCCTCCACGTGCAGCCGCGGTGGGCGTTGCTCAGCCTGGATGTCGCCTAGAGCAGCTCAGGAGGGTGACACGACGCGAGCCGGACGTGCTCCTGCGTAAAGGGGGGCTGGTGCCGTGGGTACCCCAGCTGGGTTGTTCCCAGTCCGCCCTCCCCCCCACTCCCCACTACCGGTCTATGTCCCACGTGGGCGCGAGAGAACGCCCTAGAGGCCACGCCCCAGACTAGCAGCCAATAAGCGCGAGGGGGCGTGACAGACAGGGGGAAGTTTAAGAGCGCTTGGAGTTAGAGGCGCGCAGCTGGACCGGGAGCTTCGGGCAGCCGGACCAGCTGGCACTGGGAGGGCACAACGTGCAGCAGCCGGTCACCATGCTCCAGCGCTGCGGCCGGCGCCTGCTGCTAGCGCTGGCGGGCGCGTTGCTGGCTTGCCTCTTGGTGCTCACCGCCGACCCGCCGCCGGTCCCAGTACCAGCAGAGCGTGGACGGCGCGCGTTGCGCAGCCTGGCCGGCTCCGCTGGGGCGGCTCCGGGTCCTGGGTCCAGGGCGGCCGCGGAGCCCGGAGCCCTTGTCCGCGAGGTGCACAGCCTCTCCGAATACTTCAGTCTACTCACCCGCGCGCGCAGAGACGCGGATCCACCGCCCGGGGTCGCTTCCCGCCCCGCCGATGGCCACCCGCGTCCCCCGGCCGAAGTCCTGTCTCCCAGCGACGTCTTCATCGCGGTCAAGACCACCAGAAAGTTTCACCGCGCGCGTCTCGACTTGTTGTTCGAGACCTGGATCTCGCGCCACAAGGAGATGGTGAGACCTCGCGCGGCCTGGGCAGGAGGATGGAGTAGGGATCCCTCTGTGTCTATAGCGGCTCTGGCTGCATAAATAGCTTTGGGTCTATTTGGGAAGCAATAACACCAATCCCTCCCATTCCAGCCCGGCGTGGCTGCTGGGGCCCACTTTGCCTTACAGCTTGGAAGGCCACCCCCGTTGCCAGAGTCACCCCAGACACATGCTCTGGGTCTGGATGAGTAGCCTCCAGCTTCGGATTGACCTTGTGATGATTCCCCTAAACACTGGAGTGAATGATCGTATTTGTTCCCAAACTTTTACGAACAAATAGGCTCAGTAACCATCCTGAATCCCTCCACTCTAAACTGATCCCTTCCTCCTGGTTAGAGGGTACTTCCCCTGAAAGTGAAGGAGGGGAAGACATAGCACCCCTGGACCAGATATAGTGAAGGAAATAGGGTGCTGGCTTTCCAGGCTTGTGCAGAACCTTGTCTTTTGTAGCTGAGCTCCCCCAGTTGGACGTCAACTTCATGCACATAATAAAAAGACACACCCCACTTTGAAAATCTCCCTGGAGGCTACCGCAGGACCGTTGGGGCGGGGAGAGCAGAGTGCATTGCAAGTGTGTGTGTGTGTGGAGAGGGGGTGGGTACTTGGTGTGAAGATGAAGGCTCATTTTCCTTCCTGCTCCAGCCCCAGGGAGCCAGGGCCATCAGGCTTGGCTAGGCTCTGTTTTAGGACAGAGTGGAGGTTAAGAGGACAGGCTCCTATCTAGTCTTAGTCAGAACCCCACAGCATCCTCCAGAGAATGAGGCGTCCCTTTCCCAGGGGCTCAGCAGGCCTTCGGGAGGGGGCAGCGGGGCCCATGGGTTTTGTTTGGCTGCGGTGCCGTTAGGATTCCCAGCGCTAGGCTGCTCTCACGCCGGCCCCTTGGGCAAGGCAACAAAGCCCCTTTCTCCAGCCGAGAAAGGCGTCGCCTCTTGTGTACAGCTATGCGCTCCATGGGAACCGTTGGCTGGCGTGCTGGCCACTCAGGTTGCCTGGTGATGAGGGGGCCTCTGTGTCCTCCCCACAACCCTGAATGACAGCCCTCGTGGGGCACGATCTCTGAGCCAGGGCACCCCCACCCTCCCACTCCCGCCTTCAGCCTTCCTGCTGTGTGATATTGGATAGCATCTAACCCCCTCTGGGCCACCACCAGTTCTGAGAAACTCATTTTGTGATTCGGGCACTTTCTCTGGCAGAGAGGACCCAGAAGAGTCACAGTTGGGCTATGTGGTCTGGAGAAAAGCCTAGGGCCCGGAGTCTCTTGCTTTCTGAAAAGGGAAACAATTGTCTTTCTAATAAAGTATTATAAAGTGGACTATAACTTTGGAGGCTTGTGTTGATCCCAGAAGTCATTCATAGCAATGACTCAGAAAAGGCTGGATTTACCTCCATGGTCAGCTCATGTGCACATGGCAAGCAAAGCCCCTCTTTTGGTGTGCTATGGACAAGGGTCTTAGGAACCTTGTAGCAAAGGGTGGGCTCTCATGTCTGTTCAGGGCAGCTGCAATTTGGTGGGAGGTGAGAGGCTACATTAGCCCCAGTTGGGTATGAATGGAAAGAAGGCTTCCTAGAGGGGGGGGGGTTCCCATCTGAACCAGAGTCATATGATCAGGAAGGACAATCTTGGCATCAAGTATGATTGTGGGATTGTACAAAAAAGCAGGTAATCTTTGGAGCCGCTGGTCAGTGGGGGACAGGAGGGACCGCCTGGCCTCTGGCCTGCTTGCTCCTCCCCCACCACTAAGGAGTGCGCCAGGCTGCAGGCTGCCACCGCCACAGCCACAATGGCTGGGGCAGAACTTGGCATCCTGTGTTTCTTTGAATCTCGGCTCCAGGAACAATGCTGCTTCCTGTGTGTCTCTCCCCCATCCCCTTGCCCGCCCTCGCCAGTTCTGTTGCCCTTACTGCCCTGATGGCCCTCCATGGGGAAGTCTGAGGGGGGCTGGGAGGTGTGGGTCCCTGGAAGGCAATACTTCTTCCCAAGTGAGTGTCCAACCCCACAATCATGCTGGTGTCCTCTCTTTGCTGTATACCGTGGAGACGATGGTACGCACCTCCCAGGAACACTAGGGAGAGGAAGATCCCATGCCTAGACCTTGGCTCTGCACAGGCAGTCTGTGTACCTAGGGACTGAGAGCTACCCACAGGTGCAGCCCCTGCCCCTTCCTCTTCTGATTGCCCTGTATTGGGGGGATAGCAGGCGGAGCACCCTCTTACTCCACAGCTCTGCCTCTCAAAGACTGGCGGGCCTCCTGCAGCCCCCCTCCCAACTGAACAAAGGTGACTTTAATCTCCATAGCCTTGGGCTGGGTTTTTAGGACACCATCGAAGCGCGGGAGAACAGGCCTCTCTCTTGATCTCATTAAGAAAGCATTTTCCCTTTAATCCAGCAGCAGCGTCTGCACAGGCCGGCCCGCTGCACCTCCCACGGCATTCCTGGGCTGAGATGCTGGGGTGCAGGGGGGGCTGGGTGCGAGTCTGTGCGTGTGGGCTGCCCCGGGTGTCTGCAGAGCCCTGGAAGGAGAGGCTCATGCTTGCAGATGATAGAGGTCTCTCCTTTCGCTCTCCTCCCTGGGCCTCACTGGAGTGAGCATCTGGGCATTTGGTCAACCTGGGCAAAGAACTGGGCCTCCTCAGGGCATGGTGTGCCACCCCATCAGGCCTGGGGTAGTTAGTTCCTTGGGTAGCTGAGTACATGCTGACCTCCAGGCTTGCACACAGCCGGTTTCTTTGGAACTCTTGTGCACAAAAGGAAAGTGAGGATTGTTGTTGCAGGGGGCGGGGGTTCGGAACAGGGACTGCAGCCTCTGCTCTGAGCATCCCCCATCCGCCCCGGGGTTGCACCCTGCCATGCCAGGGTGCGGCAGGCGGCACGCGCTGGGCGGGCCGGCGGAGGAAGGAACATTCCTTCCCGTGTGCTGACGGGCCCAGGCGGGCGCCGGCAGCTCCTGGCCCCGCCCCGGCGCCCCCCTCTTCTTCCGCAGAGTAATCCTGGCAGGGGGTGGCCCTGTGCCGGGCCAGGTGGAGTCTTGGCTGTGGCCTTGGGCAAGGCTCTCAGTGAGCAGGGAAGAGGTTTCCTCTTCTAAGCTGGGCTGACTGCTTGGATGCTTTACTGTGGACCTGGGAACACGAGTCCTTTTCTGCCACCACCACAGTGACCTCTCAGAACCTGGCCGGCTGCTGTGGCTGGGGGAACCTGCCCTAAGGGCACAACAGGAGGTCCAGGCCAGAGTACTGCATGGCCAATGGCCTTACCCATACCCCGTGTATAGGACCTCTTGTCCAGCCGGCCCAGTTAACCAGGCCAGCTGTATGGAAATGACAGCCGGGCCACTCCTGCTTAACTCGGCAGAGTTAAGGCCGGCCCAGCCCAGGACAAAGCTGGCGGACAATGGCTGGTGATTCATCCTCCCTCCGGGGCCCTTTGTCTGCCAGGGCTTGGCAGCAGCCCAGCAGAGGCCTTTGTCCCCGACCCTAGTGAGTGAGGCTCAGCTTCCCAAAGCCGACCTCCTCCTCCTGTCCCCCACTCCCTCCCACAGCTAGGAAAGCCTGCAGGCTGGGCGGGCAGGCAGGCTGTGTCAATAAGGGTGTGTGTCCCGCCAGGTGCACAAGTTAGCTGCAGCCCGTTTACCTGGCTGGTGGGTGGGGCACCCCACCTGGCTCGTGCCTCCCAGCTGCCTAGGGTGACCTTGGGCCCAGCTGTCTTGAAGTTGGGGAGTGAGCCCCCCTCCCCTGACAGCCCAGCTGCCACTCACCCTGGACACTTGAGCACATGCTTTATGTGCAATGGTTGGGGGGGGGGTCGTGTATAGACCTACAGTTGAGGGCACTCCAGGGTGCTTTGGCTGTGACTCTGGTGGAGGACTTGGAGCTGCAAGCTCAGTTCCTATCTCTTCTTCCAGACATTCATCTTCACCGATGGGGAGGACGGAACTCTGGCAAAGCTCACAGGTATGTTCCAGGCTTGGGGCAGGAAGAGGTGGGCTTGGTGCTAAGCAGATTCTTCCCCGGAGGCACCCTGGGGCTCAGAGGTCATCAGTCGCCCAGCTAAGAGGCCAGTTTACTCAGCCGGTTTGCTTCATGCCCCGCCCCTCCACTGCCAGGGCTCCGATTCTTATGCAGAGGAGCCCCTTTCAATCTTCTGGGGACCCTTTGAGTCCTGCAAGCAGCAACAGGTGGCCCAGTACTGGGGGAAAGCTGGCTGAATGAATGGGCAGGGGCGGCTACTCTGGGGAGGAGGGTCGGCTGGGTGTAAGGTCTGAGGCAGTTGGAAAGGAGCCTACTGCCTGTGCTGCCCAGGCCTGCTCACAGCCCTCCCCTGTCCACAGGCAATGTGGTAC